ACAGTCGGCAGCCGCCGAACACGACCCGCCAGCGGGACTAATAATCCCCAAATCACAATCCCTAAAAAATCCACCAATCCTCACCACTTCATAATCCCCGACCGCCGGAGTCTCTATCAGGCCATCCCACCGCCGCAAGCCCTTCCAGAACCACATCGCCTCCGCCGAGGACAACACCAGAAAAATTGATCGCCGACGCCTTCTCCATCTTCACTGGAAGTCGTTAATCGATACACTGACGACTGATGATTGCCATAAGGTCGCGGCTGGGATCTTCACACCGGGCGAACCTGTTATTCTCGAGGAAAGAAAAATTTGGGAGCTCTCGGGACGATGGATGGAGATGGTAGGTCCTTTTTTTATCGTTAAATAAATTTGTATTGATCAAAGCTGGAAGTCATACAACCGAGGCGGCTTTCAAGATGAAGCGGGAAGCGGGAAGCCACATGTCGGCTCCTCACTCGAAACTACCAAAACTGAGCGCTTACCCACAAACCGGGAGCTCGCTCGAATAAGAAAACCTATAAAATCTAACAAAATGGTGGCAGGGGACGCGCGCGTGAAATTCCTGGGTAGCCGCTAGCCAATGGTAGCGGCGCTAAGGGTGACGTGGCATGATATTGTGCGACAGGCGCTAGCGGTGCTAGCTTGCAGGTAGCGGCGCTAGGTCGATGGAAGTGCCGCTAGCAAGGTAGCGCTGAAGGCCCCCTTTCCTTTGTTGAGCAGGTAGCGGCGCTAATAGCATGGAAGCGGCGTTAGGATCGCCTTAGCGCCGCTAAGGCCCCTTAGCACCGCTAAGCCTGAGCAGCAGCAGAATTTTGTATTCTTCCTTTGTTTGCTCTTGCAAGTGCATATGAACTTATTCTCAATCAATCCAAGCACTTCACAATTTACACATCAATACCAAGGCATTCTACACATTCTCCCGGGTGCTCAGCCACCCTTCAACCTCCATTCTCAATATCAAAACATTAATGGCCAAGGTTTCGCCTCTCAAGTCGCGCATCCGTTTTCTTGCTGCTGCGAAAAGTCTTGGAGCAAGCTTAAACCTTCCATCGTATTAACAGCATCGCAGAGAGTCCTTCTATACAACTTGTCTTTCTTTTTCTTTGTTTGCAGGATTAGAAACCCGAGTCACATTGGACTTAACTCTAGTAGGATTCTTCTCAACAGGCTTCTCCACTATCTTTTCATTAGAGCACTTGGGCCAGCAGCTCTTCGTCCCCGTTTTGCCACCTGGTTTAGCGTAGCCCATACCAGTGCCTTTCTTAGGCAGCCTCTCTCCTCCTGAAATCCCCACTTCCTTTCCCAGCCTTTTCACTTCCACCCAACGAACGAAGCGAAGCGAAGTGAAGTCATAGAGGAGCTTTCTGATTAATAGAAAACCATTGTAGATTCCCCATAGTTCAGCGTCAAAGACTGAAGTGATGCCTGTAATATATATTAATAGAGTAAGGCAAGTGAACCCATGTAACCATCTCGCCTGGCTATCTCTTAGTAGTCCCCCTGCATGAGATGATGATTGTGAAAGCACAAGTGTGACATCCGAGTCTTCACTTCCATGATCAGCAACATATGCATCTTGAGTAGATTTGCCTTCTATTACAACCCCAGTGTGATCAGTTGATCTGTCTTTGTAGAAGGCTTGGCCTAGCTGCCAGCTATAATAGATATTATAGACATGCCTCGGCCTAGTCGCTACATTCTACCTTCTGCTACCTTCTCCCAAAGATCTACGGGGGTGACGGTTCCCTTTTCTCATGCTTCATCTGCCCGGTGATTCAAATCCCTGAATGAGATGACAAATCGAGTGATTCCACAAGTTTTTGACACGGTTTTTGAAAGATGGGTCTAAGGCCACTCGCTTGATCACCTAGCTAGCAGCGTTGCATGCGCATTTCTCTTTTTCTTACCCCCAGAACTGTAGATCTCGCTGACTCTGATTTGTCTGCTTCTGGAAGGGGACTGGTAGAACTGATAGGCCTTTAGGACAAGACCGACTCTTAGCTCGTTGGAGTGCTATTTCAGATCTTGGCTTCCTAACTACTTTGAAAGGAAAGACCCTAGTGCGATAGACATGGGTTTTTACCTTCCGTATCACAAGGCTTGGGGGTTGGTATTCATTTTCGAAGACCAACCTATTCCTCGCATTCCAAATGAAGTAGACGGTGGCCGCTAGTGCCGCTTTCTTCAATTTGGATCTCCAACTAGACCCTCTCGCCTCCTTCTTAGTCCATTTGAGAGCGCCTTTAAGGGTAGATGGTCTATGGTGAAGACTCACCCAAGTACGAATTTCATCCCAAATCTCCGAGCTAAAAGAGCACTCAAAGAACATGTGACTCGAGGATTCATTTGCGACTCTGCATAGAGGGCACATCGGGTCTTCGTCAAGGAATTATAGACGGTCTTTTGTCTGGAGTAGATTAAGGGTTCCAAGCCATAGAATGAAGGAGTGTTTAGGGGTTTTGGAAGCCCCCCAAACCACTCCACTCCAAGGCCTCGTGGTTCCTCTAGGACGAAGGTAGTCGTAGAATTTGCTAGCGCCATCTTGCCTATCTCGAGAATTCCAACCTCGAAGGAGGCCTTCCGCTTCTCGTGCACTTCCCACTCGTTCAACCAAGCCTTGTCGATTTCGAAAAGGGACTTGAAGAGAGGCGAGTCCGTCGGTCTAACTTCTCAATCCCAAGTGGAGTTCCCCTTCAAATAAATGTTGTGGATCCATTTATGCCACAATGTGTCCTTCTTTACTTGCATATTCCAAAGTGTTCGGGTGAGCAACGCTTGGTTCCATGTGTTCAAGTCCCTAAGCCCTAATCCGCCTTCCGAACGCGGAAGACAAACCCTATCCCAAGCCACGGGAGAGTTTTTCAATCCCTAAAGGAACCTTCGACATAGTTGGTGATTTTGGTTCTAATTATGCCGGGCAAGTGGAAGATCCCCATCCAAAAGCACACAATACCTTGGATCACCGAGCGTAGGAGTTCCAATCTTCCGGCATATAAGAGTGTATGCCCATTCCACCGACTAAGTTGCCCTTCAATTTGCTCAATCATGTCATAAAAAAGCCTAGCCGTGATACGGTCCGCGGTGAGGGGGAAACTGAGTACCGAAAGGGCATTGAGCTGCACCATAAGTTGGTGTTGTCAAGGATTGTAGCCCGACTATCGTCCTTGACACCGACCAAGTAAATAGTGGACTTAAGTATGTTCATCTCAAGCCCCGACATTGCTCTGAAATCCTTGAGGCAATCCATGAGGACTTGAATTGACCGGGGGGGAGGGGTCTCCACGAGATAGAAGCATGAGGTCGTCGGCGAAGGCAAGGTGAGAAATATTTGATTGCTTGCACATCGGATGGTACTTGAAGTTCGTGTCGACCGCCGTGTTGCTATTTATAAGCCGGGAAAGATATTCCATATAGATCATGAATATGAAGGGTGATAGGGGGTCCCCTGGACGTAGACCACGGCCGCCTTTGAAGTGGCACTTGAGGCTTCCATTGATGGATAGAGAATAGGACGGAGTGGTGACGCATTCCATGACCCATCTTGTAAACACCGGTGGAAAGCCGAGCCCATCAAGCACTTGCTTCAAGAAGGACCATGAGATGAAATCGAAAGCTATACATAGGTCTATTTTAATTATACACCTAGGGGAGACCTGTTTCCTCGAGTAGAGTCGTAGAAGTTGTTGCATTAGGTGAATGTTATCGGTCATGTTCCTCCCTTTCACGAAAGCGGCTTGGCCTCATCAATGATAGAGTCGAGGACTTTGCTATCTCGCCAAGCGAGGATTTTGGAAAACATCTTGTAAACCATGTTGCAACGCGCAATTGGCTTAAAGTTCATGACATGTGAGGAGTGGGAGGACTTCGGAACAAGCGTGAGGGCCGTCTGGTTCCATTGTTTGAGGATAGAACCAGAGCGGAAGAACTCTTGGATTGCCTCCACCACATCACCCCCAACGATGGACCAACTCTTCAAAAAGAAAGTGGAGGTATAGCCATCCGGACCCAGGGACTTACCCCCCTCAATGTCACCAAGTGTGATCTTAATCTCGTCTACGGTGACCGGGGCAATGAGAGATCTACAATCATCAACTCCAACACACGGTCCCAATCGTAGAATTTGTGGATCAATATCCTCCGTTTCGACTCCGGTACCCAAGAGAGCCTCGTAGTAGTGGACAAATTCTTTGACAACTTCCTCCATGGAGTCGGTGATGATGCCATCTTCCCGAGTAATCGAGGCAATAAAATTTCTTTTTGTTCGCTTTTTGACCAAAGCCGTGATAGAACTTGGTGCATTTGTCACCCTTGAATTGGAAGTTGCATTTAGCCTTTTGTTGGTAGAAGTATCTCTCCGCTTTGGCCAATTTGAGAGCTTCGAGTCTAAGCGAAGGCATTTTGGCCTTACTATCGGGGTCGTTGGGTTGATCATGGAGCATTTGTTGTGCATTCTTGAGGGCATTCTTCGCTTCTTTAGCCCGGGGGGAGATATGTGAGAAAGCTTCTTCATTGAGAGTCTTAAGCGAGTTCTTGAGGTTCTTTAATTTGTTTGCAAGACAGAATTGCCTCGAGCCTCCACCGCCATGGTTCCACATGTTTTGGACACTCGGCAAAAACTTTTCATGGGCCGTCCACATATTGGAGAACCGCCACAGTGACCCGGTAGTGGTCCTCGCCTCGAATGTAGTAACTATGCACGGGGAATGGTTCGAAATACCCGGAGCTAGAAAGGTCGCGTGTGAGAATAGATCAACATTCTCCCATTGAGTGTCCACCATTGCCCTATCAAGTTTCGACCAAACGTGGTTATTAGTCCAAGTGTGGAAAAAGCCGCTTGAGGGGATGTCCTACACTCCCAAGTCTTCACAAACTTCCAAGAGGTCCATGGTGTCTCGGTTAGTGACCCTCTCCCCCTTAATTCTCTCTTCCGGTTTGAGTATAGCATTAAAGTCCCCGAGGAGAAGCCAAGGTGAGAATATGCTCCCCCGGAAGACCCTAAGGTCGTTCCACAACAATTTCTGGTCCCCTCTCGTATGGAGTCCATATATAAAGCTAGCTATGAACGAGTGATTGCTAACCTTACACCGGATGTTTGCAAAAATGACTTGAGGCAAGGCGGCCTCCATCGTGATGTCAACCTTCATGGGGTTCCATAGGATGGCAATGCGGCCCCGATCAACAACGTCAAAATTCTCGCAAAAATCCCAACCCGGCAACCTTCTATCCATAAAGAGAGATAGCCGCCTAGTGTCGGTCTTTGTTTCCAAGAGTCCCAAAACGTCAATATTATTTCTCCGAATGAGGTTTACCACCTCATCTTGTTTTAGGGGCCCGTTAAAGCCCCTAATATTCCAAGAGGCAATAATCATTGAGAGGAGGAGGGTTGGCCCCCCCTTCTTTGTCGAATTCACCTTTCCCCCATCTCTCCTCCCGCTTGGTTTGTCTCTAAGCTTGGAGTGTTGGCCCGTAGTTGCGGCGGCTTGGGTTGCGGCTCCACTACGGGTGATGATCTTGTTATACTTACCTACCACTTGGAAGGAGTCATCTTCATTATCCGGATGAGGGTTCTCGTGGACCTCCAAGTCCCTAGTTGGAGAAGAGGAAGAACCGGCATTCGAGGTCACCGCTTCTTTCCTTGCATTACAATCCCCGTTGCCCTCTTTCTCTTGTTCTCCTTTACTTTGGTTTTTGTCAACGACCTCCACCTCTTTGGTTATGTGTCGCTCTCCATGCTCTTTGTTGGTATTTGCTCCTTTCGTACTTTGTTGTACATTTTCTTTTGGTCCCACCGCAACCTTGGTAGTCACCATGGTTTTGTTTTGTCCGACCGGTTTCTTGCCCTCGGCTTTTTTCGCAAGGTGGGCTTTATGCTTCCCACAATTAGAGATAGAGTGTCCAATGTATTTGCAATGGTTGCAATATTGTGGGACATACTCATATTCTACCTTTTGCTCAAACATAAATTTCCCTTTGGGTTTGATGGGAATGCTATAAACTCTTTCCTTGGAGAGGTCAAGCTCCACCAAAATTCGAGCGTAGTTGCATCGGTCCCTTGTTGCCATGAGGTTATCGGTTGTGATGGGCCTACCGACGCAAGAGGCTATCTTGCTAAGGGCATTGGAGCTCCAACAATTCCATGATAGGAGGGGGAGATTGATCCAAACAGGGATGGTTTTGATGTCATCCTCGCCAAATTGGAACCAATTGGGGAGCACTTTAAGAATGAGCCCTCGGACGTAGATAGAGTAGGTGCCTCCTTGAAGGACCTTCTCTCTATCCTCTTCTTTTTTGAACTTGAAGACGATCCATCCATTCACATTGGGGTTTTATTCATATTGGACTTCCCATGAGTTACATAGCCTCAACAATGCTTCTTTGCCCGGGTGCCTTTGGGTAAAGTAACCAACAAGGCAAAAGCCCCACGTGCTCGTCACGTCCAATTGGTCTTCATCGTCTAGGTCCACTCCATTATCCGGTGGAATGTAATTTAGTTTGAGTCCATGAGTGGCCTTGCGGTTGTCGGCAAAGAGAGGGGAGAATGGCCTCTTTAGAGAGTCCAAATTCTTTTGTGTCTTTTTGTCATACACCTTGTGTTCACCTTTCTTGGGGTGGTTCGTGGCTTTGTCTTTCACTTGTTTCTCTCCTCCATTGTCATCCTCAACTAGTTCCATGTCATCCATAGGTAAGGAGGCATTAGAACCCTCCATCCTTACCTCCTTCTCCCTTGAAACGTCTTTATTGGCGGCTTTGAAGATTGGGGATGACTCTTTCATTTCGGCTATAATTAGTTGCTCTTCATCCGAATCCTCTAGTGAGACATCATCATGTTCGTTGGAGTGGCCGGAGCATTCTTCATCGGTCAACTTTCGGTACTTGAGCTTCTTCTTTGATTTGCCCATGGATATAGGTTGTACATGGATGCTCAAACCAATGTACAAGCTATTTCATGCACGGCGGGCATAATTAACTTCTTGCTCCAAACTTGTAATAAATTGCTCTAATGTGCTCGGGATTCAAACCAACACTAAATTCAAACAGAATTACAAGAAAAGAGCTGAAATTTGCAAATTTTCTGGGTTTATGCGCGGACGGGATATTTCTCGCAGGTGCCGGAAATCTCAACTAAAGTGGATGAAATTAGGCTTGATAGATTCGTAATAAAGTGTATTAATTTGTGAGTAAGGTTTTCTGCAGTAAAATCAATTGGAAATCGAAAAGATGAAGCTGAAATTTGGACGGGCCCTAAGATGCGTGAGCAAATCCTAGTGAGAGATGTTCTCGCTTCTCTCTAACCCGTTTTAAACTGTGTTGGGTAAACTTTTTATAGTGATTGGCCCCACCGCACTACGGCCCCTAACTCCAGAAACCCCCCTCTGGCCTGGCCCTACGGGTTAGTATACACCGCTTGGCCCTACGCGTATGGAGGATTTTTTAGAGAGGAACATTTCCACTGAACCTAATAAGAGAATAACAAATTCGAGAGCAAGTCTCGAACCTGAGACCTCGATCAGGGTATCCTCATGCTTCACCACTCAGGCTAGGCACTTGGATGTGATGGTAGGTCCTTGAGAGAGAGAGATGGCAGGTCGCGTGTGAGAGAGAGAGATGACAGATAATGAATGTTTTAAGATGATAGCTGTCATACAAATAAATTACGACTGTGCCCTTTGACATAGAAAATTCACCTTAATTTTACACTGATATTACGAATATGCCACCGTCTAATTCTGCGTGGTCAACACCTGTAATCCCATCTTGACCATTAATTTGGCAGATCTTATGGTGTGTATTTATTCATTTCTTTCACTATCTCCATTTCTTATTTGATCCCTTCTCTCTCTTTATATATATACGTATAAAGTATAAAATTTTATTTACATTTGTAAATGTGCACAAAATTGAATATTAGCAAACTCTATAATAATTGAAGGTTATAATATAATTGAAGGTCAACACAGTTATATTACAAAGTTTTTTGAATTGAAGGTTAGTTATAATAATTGGCAATAGTTTTTCAACTTTAACATAAACTCTATAATAGCTATTTTATAAACATGAACTCTAATTTTTTTTATTTTTTTTTTTCGGAGCGGCAGATTTTATGGAAGGGAAAAGAGTTCACAAATAACAAGCATATACAACAGAGAAGCATCAGCTCCTAAATAAAGAGGGAGAGGCCTCATTTTCGGCAAAGGAAAACTTTGAGGCCCGAAAATGAAATCTATCCCTGGCCTACCACAGACAAAAACAAGCAACAACCTGGAGGCAGCAAAATTAGCTTACCACTGCACCCTAAAAGGGACCTAGCAAGCTAACAAAAGACTAAGAAAAAGCAGGCAAAACAAAACAAAACGACAAGACTGACTACCTACTAGCCTGTACAAGAGAAAATTCATGCCAATCTTGCAAAGCTAAGTCCACCGTGTGCCTTTCTGATCTTCTAGTTTGCTCAAACACCCAAAGATTTCTAGTTTTCTACATCCACCATAGTAAGTAGCTAGTCAGTTGAATTCTTGCTTCTGCAACTGGGTTATAATGGATAGAACATAAGTGTGCCCACCAGTGTTTGAAGCCTATGGTGTCTGCTTGAATCCCATCCCAAGAAACCGGGGCCAGTCTCCAAATGAGCTTGGCTCTGCTGCAAGTAAAGAATAGATGCTCCATTGATTCCTCCTCTTCACCACAAAGCTTACAGATTTTATCCACTGAGACTCCTCTTGAATGCAAGTTTACAAGGACTGGCAGAAGATTGTTTAGACATTTCCAAAGGAAGTGTCTTATTTTAGTCCTTAATTTAAGTCTCCAAGTCCTTTGTCTGGCTTGCTTCATGTCATGTTGAGCTGAGCTTGGGCCTGCAATATCCAATTTCCTCCAGTGAGATTCAATGAGCTTGGAGTAGGTAGATGCCACAGAGAATTTGCCATTGGAACTCCACTCCCATTTTAGCTTGTCATTGCTGTAAGGATCCAAGCCTTCAATTTTAGTTATAGCTTCAACTTCTTCCTCTGTAAACCATTGTTCCAGTAAGTTCCTGTTCCATCTCCTCCCAGAATTGTCAATAAGGTCACTAACCCATTTAAGCTCTGTGTTCCTTCGGCTTTTACCTGTTGGTTTGTAATCTGGTAAGAGAGGAACCCATGGTTGGTCCCAGATTTTCACAGACTTGCCATTTCTAATTTGGAACCTGACTCCTTTGATGAAGTTATCCTTCAGGCTCCACCAGCTTGTCCACAGCCAGGAGCTATTGCTCTTTTTTTTTTTTTGCTGAGAAAATAGATTCATGAGGA